CCCCCCCAAACATTCAAGTTGTTTGTCCAGCTCAAAGATAATACATTTTCATTATAATATGTGGCTGATGTAGCTCAGCAAATACAATTTAAACAAACGACTCTGAGATAAACAAAAAAGAAAATAGTTGCGAGTATCTTCACAAAATTTCTTACAAGCAAAATTATTATAATAGGCCCACGTATAGGCCTAATAATACATCTTGTCAGGATCACATGATGTATTGAGATTGCGAAACCTGTAGATAACGAAAATGCAATTCAACAGGAGGAAAACGAAAATGAGTACTCAACATTTGTTATCTCTCTATAAGCGGACAGAGCCTGTAACTGTAATGTTGACAGGTCAAAATTAATAAGGCCCTGATACATGTGATCATGTTTGGAAACCGCAATAAGGCAACGTGTAATGAGGCTACACTACCAATAATAACATCAAATATCGTCTTTGATTATTAAGCCCTACGATAATATTATCATTGGGAATTTCCAAACACCCAAAAATAGGGAAATAAGGGAGATAACCGAACGTCGTCCCGATAGATAACTCAAACTATATTATGTTGTTGAACAGCTTTCAAAGCCAAGATTGAAGAAGTGGCGAGACCAACAGATTATAAACTAACTCAAATTGTTCATTAAACACCAGAATGGCCACCCCAGGAGGGTTCCAGGCTGGTACAGCCGCAGTCCCATCGTCTCAGGTTGAAATAAGTGTTTCTTGCAGGTAAGTATTTCACCATAATAATATTTGAAAATAGTTTGAAAAGTCCCCTTTTTTACTTCTCTTGTGGGTGGGGGCTTGGCCTTGGCACTTTTTGTGATTGAATGATTGTTGAGTCCTAAGGCTAAATTCCTCACTGACCAAGCCTGGGGTCTGGCAGAAGAGAAGCAACATTAATGATAGTTTAGTGTATAAAAGGAAACACAGCCCCTTGTTGTTCTGGCGAAAGGGATGCAGACTGAGCTCTACTATGGGAATAAAATTTCACACAACAGTCAACCCTCTCTTATTTTTGCTGTGTTGTGCCGTAAGTCAACATGCAGCTAAACGTAGAACGAAGCACCTGCCTGATTGGCTGCTAATTTTAGTAATGTGATGTTGTGAAATATGTCATCACATCCTGGGGTACCCACAGACTATTTTTAGAGAAGGCCGTGGAGACAAAGATTCTTATATGATCTTTGGTGGAAATACCGCGTTGAACGACATTTGGGTCAGTGGCTGGTCGTATTAAATCCGTATCGATGTGTTTCGCACATTTAAATTTCACGCTTGTGCTCGTCAGCCATGCTCTGATTTTTCACAAAAGGTTTCCTAGTAGATCTAGATTTCTCTATCTCTATGTTAATATCATTTTGGAATTCCGGTACTTGGACATAAGATCGCTTAGATCGTTGATGCTCAGAACTGTAGTACGCTGATGGCTTGAAATTGAAACACGGTAAACGCAAAAATACAATAAAGCGTGCGAAAATTGCCGTAAAGATGCCGAAAGATTCCCCCCCCCCAGGGTGCGATAAACAATGAGTGATAAACAGCAGCATCATCGGAGCTCCGCATATATTACTTTACCGGTATTCCTGGAAAAACATCGCACCAAAACATCGTGCCATCTAAGATCGTGTAGTAGTAGTAGAGAAACTTTGGTGCCATGCGGTTGGGTATATTTAGACGTAGGCTAGTCTCCTGATCGGAGGGGTGACCCGGTCTGATGTCGCTCAAGATGGCCGCCTTACCTAAAAATAGTTTGCATCGTTCTACGTTTAGTCGCATCATGTCTTAAGTCGTTCATTAATTTATTCGTCATGATACGGATTAGAGTTAGGGTTAAGGTTAAAAAGGTTACAGGGCAAGGGTCAGGGTTAAGGTTAGGATTGGGGTTAGGTCCCTTCTTTATTGTCACACTTGAGGTGGTTGCCATGCTCATTGCGAAAGTCCTTCTGATACTTAATACTGGAACTGTAAAAATTAAGAGTTTAGATCCATTTATAATAAATTGAAGAAGTCTAAGGATATATGTCTATAAAAGTTAAAGTTGTTGACATCCTGCTTTGTTAAAAGAAAAAAAACCCAATTAAGAACAGAATACAGAGAAATGAAAACCAGTCAAAGAGAGCTTGCATTTTAGCCTGTTTTCATTTAGCCTACAATGCCATTTGGTCTGATACTGATGTGTTTCTAACCAAGTCAGTCTGATTTACTCTTCTTAGCTTCTTAGGTCTTGACTGTACAGTACAGCTGGGTAACTTTGCAAGGTGGGGAAATTCACCAACTGCCCCCTCCCCTACCGATTTAAAATGGGAATAAATCCAAATTATAATCCACCAAGGACGAGTTTAAGTGTCAAGTTACTTGCGACAAGAAATTTGTTCTTTGTTAATTGATCAACCATTAATAATTAATTGTTATGACAAAGAACAATCGCGGTTAAAAGCATGTGTCTTCCCGCTAAACTTCCCTCTCCTCCTCTCTTACCCTATCTCTGCAGCGCCTGCACTATTTTTATTTTTCTGTTTCTACTGCATACTACTGTGCTGTTTGTACTCGAATTGTGTTGAAACTGCTTTATTGATTAAAATGTCATTTATTTGCTGCATTTTATTGTTGTTTGTATGCCCTTTTATAATTAAATAAATTCTGTTTGGACACATCTACACCTTGACGGGGAAATTCCCCTCTATTGTCGGGGAATTTCGCCACATAGTCACACAGTCTTCCTCACATATTTTGAATTTTAAATTTTTTTCAGGAACTTGAGAGATATGGATTATTTCTCGAAGTCAGACCCTCTGTGCGTCATGTACTCGCTAGACATCAAGTCGCAACGCTTTCTTGAGGTATTATGAACTTTGAAATTGCAATGAGATATAATGACAGTTAGCTGTAGGCCTAAAGCTTTATTGGTAAATATTGGGCTTCTCTTTGCAAGCGTTCACTAAAGAAAAAGGAAAAGAGATGGTCAAAGAGAAAAAAATGGAGTCATAAAGTATGAACACTCTCACAAATGCTCATTCATGTACTCACAAAGTTAACTTCTTTTCTCTTCCTATTGAACTTGAGAAAAAATAATCTGGTCAATGCTGTTTGTCATGTTGTGACAATGGTGTCGTTCCCAGTGGTGGACTTTACACATTTTTTAACTACCCTGTGCTACTTTTGTGTCTGTTTGGTAAGAGTTTTATGGCATTGCAAGGGCATAAGGTCATATAAGCACAGTAATTGTGTCTGACTATCCTCTCTACGTGTAAACAAGAAAAAAAAACCCACCAGTATAAACTGCAGCATTATAATGTTAATTAAGAAGGAAAGTCATTAAAATTGTCTATTTGAAAATTTATCTCAGTTAAGCCACACACTTGAGAATGGTGTTTTATATAATAATAGATGTTCATGTGCAGTTGAATGTCTTTAGCGTCAATGTGTTCTTTATTTGATCTCACTGCACATTTTCATTGTTTTTTAAAAGCATCAGTGTCCCTTCTTTTATGAGTTCATCATTAGTTTGCAGTTTGCATAATTTGATTTAGGCTAAAGGAGAATTTTATTTATGTCTTCAGTATGGGAGAACAGAGATGATTCAAGACAACTTGAACCCTGAGTTTGCAAAAAAGTTTGTCATCAACTATTTCTTTGAGGAAGCTCAGAAGTTGAAATTCGAAATGTGAGTTTTTTTTAGCTACATGTCCATGACTGTTCAAAACAATAAATTGGCTTTTATGTCATTTTATTTGAGTAATTAATGAGAATACTCTGGTTTTGAGCTGAACGTTATAATTTTGTTTGTTTTTATGCTGTGATTGATGGCCTGGAAGTTGAATTGCAGATGATTGTATGGTATGGAAGGCTTTATGCCTGTGAGAGCTGGACCAGATATAATATTGTACTGGGAGAGATATTTTACACCAATTTTTTTCCTCTCCCCTTCTTTTTAGTGAGTAGTCTAAAAGCTGTTTTATTGCATATATAATTACCTCTTTATACTTATTGTTGCAGAAAAATGATATCGAGTTTGTAATACGCTGCTACTATGTTCAGTGGCTTGGTTGTAATTTGTTTTAAAAAGAAATATGAAAGTTGAGTTTAATTTTACGACTCTCTTGTTGCTCCTCATGAAGAATGAAATCTTCAGAATAATAGAATGGGGAATTATATAAATTGCACTATGTTTGAATACAGAGATAGGAAGATGCCAGCATGCTATACCTTGATAAGACTTAATAATTTGGTCTGTTGTTAGTAAGCTGTGCTCATCATGTTTATTTTTCTATGTTTTTTGTAGATACGATGTAGACTCCACAAGTCAAAATTTGAGTAACCATGTAAGTACTTGTTATACAACAAGTTTCGGTAGGCTACTTTAGCTTTTATTTTTATTTTCTTTGTGTTATACTCTTTGTGTAAAAAATTTTTGACAAATATTTCAAGGTATGTAAATGGTTTTTGCATTTACTGCTTTCATCTCAACACTTTCAAAGTGTGTTTTGCAAGGGGCCTGTCAGATATTGTTTTGTATGTAACATAACTTTGTTATTTACTCTTAGTTAACGACCTCAGCTCAGTCCGACGTTGTGTCCTTGGGAAAGACACTTTCCACGAATTTCCCATTTGGCTCGGTCCTTTCGGAGACGTACGTTAAATTAGGAGGCCCCGCCTCTTAAATGACCTAATGGTGTTGATAGGGGCGTTAAACCCATATCATTTCACCATTTCAGAGTTAACGGAATGACTTATATCAACATGCATCTCAAAGGTCGTTTTAATAGAATCTCAACTAACTTCATTTTTTGTGCTAATCAGAAGAAGTTGAAAAGTGATTAAAAATGGTTTTATGCTATTCATTATTTCTTTGCAGGATTTTATTGGCTCAGTGGAACTCACTCTCGGTGAGATTGTGGGTGTCCCAGGAGGAGCAGTGGTAAAGAAATTGAGGTGAGTCTCCTATATTTAGTTGCAGATGCTCATAGGGTTTTCTTAACTCTTTGGGATGGTGGTCTCCCAGTTTTTTCACTCCCTAGAATGTGGTTGCCCTGAGCAAGAGTGCTAAAAAATTAACCTTGTTCAGGGAAAAAGCTATAAAAACATTACTTGAAGTACAGAACCCGTAAACTTTTACATTTTCTTGTTCAGAAATAGTTTCTGCATATTAATACAAGTAATGGGTTTTGGGAAAAGATTTGTATAAGAGTGCCTGTATACTGTGTGGAGTATCACTTTCATCACCATTTCCTGGTTCTTCATCACCAGAGTACATGGTGGAATCGCAGAACATTCTATCAAATTCCAAACACCCGCTACAAGGTTGTAAAACCTGAAATGTGAACCATTTATAAACGAAAGAGGAAGTCCACAAGCTTGTAACTCTACACAGAAGATTTCCCTTCTTTTTTAGTCCCAGAACTCTGTGATTTTAGCTCATGATTGATACACCCCCCTCAATTGCCGGTATACTGGCAAACTCCTTCCAATGGATTTATTACGTCATCGCTAGCGTATCGGTGATGACCATCCAAAAGGGTTAACTTACCAACATCCTACTGTTAGGAACAGACCACTAATGAAAAACACTCGCAGTGGAGTTTCTTTAAACTGAACACTTTTAATCTGAAAACAGCAGTAAACTGAAGAGAAATAAGGTCCCCAATTTGTAAAAAATTATAATTTGAGCAATCATTCCGAACCAAAAACATGGCTAAAACAAAGAAAGTTCAGCAATCCATCAGATTTTTTGGGGTTGTTCCTATCAGGAATCACGAAAAGCAGGAAAATTGTAAGCCTTGACCGTAGCATTAAACAGCATTTTGGTGATGCTGAAATGTGCATCTTTGATAGAGCTTTTGGAGGATGTAAAAAGCTAAAATGAGGGGGGGCTGTTTATGTATTTATGTTTTGTCTGACTTGCCCTGTTGGTAAATGCTAAGTTATGAAGTTGGGATGTCGATTGATAAGTTGGTCACTTTTACGGACAAGTGGGTTAACCCAGATTTTAGGATTTCTAGAAATCTTGACCTACACCAAAAGTGGGCATTGCTCTACCTTTAGGAGAAGTTTGGTTTCATTGGTATTTGTTTGGTTATAGAAAAACTCTCCTTGCCTTTTAAAGAAACTGAACTAGGGTCCAAAAATTTTACCTTTGATTTCATCAAAACAGCATTTTTCGGGATAGCCCCCTTGTGCTTAAAAGCAGCCAGTTGTATCAGTGCTAATACTTAAGTTATGATTTTCGTCTACATGAGCAAAAAGCACTGAACTGCGTTCATTTTGAGTGTTTTTGTTTATGTGTTTTCAACTTCTCTTCTCAGGAGCTCTCATCCCGGTGACAGTGGAGATATCATATGTGAGAAAGAGTTTTGTTCAACTTAAGTTGCATATTTGTGTTGATTCCTTTATTTTATGAAATTTTAAAACCAAATCCTACCAATTAATAGTAGATTTGTCTGAAGTAGTGATGACTGAATAAGATCTAAACCAAGCTGTCGATCTCATTGGTTTGATTCTCGGTGAGACATTTTGAACATGAAGAATTGTATGTATACATGAAGCACATTCTATGACATTGATTTTATGCAAGTGGCTGACCGGTCAATAGATCAATGGTTAGTCTCTGGCATCGTGTATAGTTGCACATGTCGCTTCTCCACAGCTTTCCATCTTCCTTGTTGGCACGTTATGGCCTTACACAAACTGTCATCAGGGTCGGCATTTCTTCAGAATACGATTCACCATAGGTACACGCAGTCACTACTCAATGAAAGCTCCAGTGACGGAAGAAGGAGGAATTTCTGTGTCAGTGGTGACAGCACCAGAAGCGTCAACAACCCTCAGTCACAACCAGAAGTACAAGAAGGCGCGTCTGGCACTGAACTCAGCTGCAACAATAATGGCCATAAAGTACCGACAGGGGAGATGGAAAGCTGTGGAGAAGCAACATGTGCCAGTGTACATGACGCCGGAGAATATCCATCGATCAATTGACCAGCATGGCAACGGAGAATAGCCAACAGCATGTTGCTCTCGTAATTTTAAGTAGAATAAAAGGGATTTGGAAACTGACTGAGAGTGAATCTATGTTTGCAAATTTGGCTCCTGTTGAAACTTAGGCTTTGTTATCTACATACGTTTTGTTCAATGAAATATTCAAAATTTGTTTAAAAAAGCTTTCTTTAGATTTCTGTCAACTCATCTTTTAAAATGGGAGTGAGATAAATTTTGGGACTGATGTCAGATGCAGTAGATATTTTGAAACAATTTGTATACATTTTTCAGTATGCTTTGATTAGTGTTGGCTTTGAAAGAAGTTTAGAGGGTCACACCACACTGAAAAAAAAGGGGGAAGGTTTTTAAAATTTATTGTACAGGTAGGCCTACTGTGGTGGAAGAGAGAGAGAACTCCCCCCCCCCACCCCCCCACAAACCAAACAAAGACCTATCTCATTATGACTTAGCTTTGAAAGTTTGTATTTATTTGCACTGTATCTCAGACTGTGTCATTTTTATTTTTATTTAATTTCAGTGAGAGCAGAGGAGCTAACCTCATCAAAGGTAAATGGCTTAGAAAATTTGTGCAAAGTATGATAAAGAAGTACTTATGAATCAAAAAACTTATTCTGGGCCCAATAGTTTACTCATGTGGAAGGGGGGGGGGG